GTTGTTGTTGTTGTTTTTGTTGTTGTTGTTGTTGTTGAACATTATTACTTCTAAAGAATAATTATTGTTGGGGCCCCTGGTGCACGGCCCCCTCGCCGCGCCTAGGCCGCAGCCATGTTTTCATCATTTTCGTGAGGAACTCTCCGGCAAAACGGGTTGGTCCGGATCCGGTTGTTTTGTTCCCCCCCGCTTTCCTTTGCAAAAAACAATATAATGTGACATTTCTTGTTCTAACATAACCAAACTTCAAGAATCCCTTGCAAAAAATAAGGTAAAGTGGACATTCGCGCGCGCAAGACGAAATCCTTCCAAAACCTTAGTGTTCGTAGCGATTTTAACATAAAAACATCAAAAAACCAATGGTTTTTCAAAAAAAAAGTGTCAAAATTTCATCCCGCGCGCTCTTGCGGATTTGTAGGAAACCCAACACTTTTTAAACATTTCTGTCAAACGGGCTTTTGCGAGCAACTTTTTCACGTGCTTCGAACTTCTCCAACAACGGTTGCGCACCTGCCAGGGCCATCATCCCTGTCAAATAATACCATGCGGGACACATTCGTTTTTTCTTCGCGCGCGCACGCCGAAATCTTCAAAAACCATTGGGTTTCTTAGGAATTTTAGCACCGCGCAACATAAAATCATACGAATCGCACCGTAGGTCCAGAAAATGTTACCACAACAAGTCACTGTACCCATGCGCCAGTGTAGTAGCCACGGTCGTCCGCAGGCCACGAAGTGAAGTGTCCGAACGTCATAGGGCGGGAAGCTGGGTGTGGGTGGTGGCGAAGAGTCGTTTGGAAATGTGGTAGAGCTTGAACCGGCCCCCCCACAAAGTGGGGGTATTGGCGGGCGTCGTATGAAAACCCTGGCACTGGTGAGAACGGAGTGTCCCCACGTGCTAGTAATTGTTGTTGTTGTTGTTGTTGTTGTTGTTGTTGTTGTTGTTGTTGTTGTTGTTGTTGTTGGAGACCATTTCTTTATTGCTTGGGGCAATACGGGCGTCATGGCCCCCGCTCCTCCCCCCACCCCATTGCGCTCCGGGCACTGTCGCCGTGCGCGCTGGGATCCGCGTAGGTGTCTGCGTAAGAATCCGCATAGGAGTCTGGTCCGCAGTCGTCGTCGTCGTCGTCGTCGTCGTCGTCGTCGTCGTCGTCGTCGTCGTCGTCGTCGTCGTCGTCATCGCTCGTGGCTCGTCGCTCATCGTCGTCGTGCGCACGGACGCGGCTGGAGCCTGTTATTTGTTCCGGGCCGATCACGGCAATCATCTGAGGTGGTGTGGAGGGGGTCGATGACATCATGCTTCGCGCCGGCGGCGTCTGGGAATGCCTAGGAATGACGGAGGACGGGTAGCACCAGCATGTAGGTGGCTATCTGCACCACAACGCCTGTTTACACCACAGTGCCTGCGTGCACCACAGCTCCTGTGTATATCACACCGCCTATGTACACCACGGCAGCCGCGTGCAACACAGCGTCAGTTTGTGCCACCGTGCTCGCGGGTACAACAGCTGTTGTGTACACCGCAGCGCCTGCGTACACCACATCAGCCGTGTGCAACACAGCACAAGTGTACACCATAATGCCTGCGTGCGTTACAGTGCCTGTGTACACCACGGCGCTTGTGTGCACCACAGCAACCGTGTGCAACACACCGCCACACTTGCATATCGAATGTGAGAAGGAATCCGCATGACAAAACGGAGCGCTTGTGAATTCCACAAGAAACAGTACACAAGAATCCTTACGGACAATGGAGCGCCACTGGAATCTACGAGTTCTCCCGAGTCCGCCCGCATTACCCTAACTTCTCCCATCTGCGTCCAGGAGGCTCCAGCTAAATTGTCTTTGCGAGAACCAAGTGGGCCGACTCAATAGACCATTATGCGGTGCACTGCGCGCTGAATTGCGGACGCTGTAGCGCCACCCCGCACGACAGGGGGTAAGGAGGAGGAAAAGGAGGAGGAGGAGGAGGAGGAGGAGGAGACGAGGACGAGGAGGAGGAGGAGGAGGAAGAGGAGGAGGAGGAGGAGAAGGAGAAAAAGGAGGAGGAGGAGGAGGACGAGGACGAGGAGGAGGAGGACGAGGAGGAGGAGGAGGAGAAGGATGTGGAGGTGGAGGTGGAGGAGGAGGGAAGAGGGAAGAAGGTCGCATTCGATGATCAGCACTGTCCTGCACGCAGGCGCTGGTGTACAGTCGCGCTGCGTTGCACGCGGATGTTGTGGTGTAGGCAGGCGCTGTGGCGTGCACAAGCGCTGCGGTGCACGCAAGCATTGTGATGTACACAGGCGCTGCGTTGAACATGGTTGCTACGTTGTACACATGTACACCGGCGCTGAAGTGTACGCAAGCACTTTGGTGTACACAGGCGCTGCGTTGCACACGGTTCTTGCGGTGTACGCAGGTGTTGTGGTGTTCGCGCGCCTTGTGGTGCATGCGAGCGATGTGTACACAGGCGCAGTGGGGCATTTCGCCACCTACATTTTGCTCGCGTCGTCATCGTCGTCGTCGTCGTCGTCGTCGCTCGTCGCTCGTCGCTCATCGCGTCGTGCGCGCGGGCGCGGCTGTGGTGCCGGAGCCACACGGCGGGGGGGGGCGTTACGTCATACGCCCGTCATCGCCGAACATAGAGAAACGCTCTCTTGGTGTTGCTGTTGTTGTTGTTGTTGTTGTTGTTGTTGTTGTTGTTGTTGTTGTTGTTAATGTTGTTGTCGTCGTGTTGCTGCTGTTGCTGTCGCTGTTGCTGTAGTTGTTACTCTTACTGTCGTCGACGTCGTCGTCACCGTTGTAGTCGTCGTCGTCGTCGTCGGTGTTGTAGTTGTTGTTGTGGTTGTTGTTGTTGCTGTTGTTGTCGTTGTTGATGCTGCTGCTTTAGTTGTTGTTGTTGTTGTTGTTGTTGTTGCTGTTGTTGTCGTCGGCGTCGTCGTCGTTGTCGTTTTCGTTGTCGTTGTTGTTGTTGTTGTTGTTGTTGTTGTTGTTTTCGTCGTCGTCGTCGTTGATGTCGTGGTTGTCGTTATTGTTGTTATCGTCGTCCTCGCTCGAACCCCCCCCGCGACCCACCGGCAACCCACCCTGCGACCCACTTGCGACCCACATGTGTCCCACCCCGCGCCCGCCCCTTTACTGTTCTCCGCAACTGCGGGGTGCGACGTACTCCCAAACGCTGACACGCCCAGAGCCCTGCGGTCGGTGAATCATGGTGGCTACATAGTGAGGTCTCACCGAGCATGTTAGTGTATCGGGGGTGGTTTGGGGAACTGTCTTGGTTCCTCCTTGCCCCTGCTATTCATCATCGTTTCTCTCCTCCTGTTCTTCCTCTCGAATGTAGGGGTCTCCCCCAGGAGGTGACCCAGAAGGCCGACGACCGATCGTGGCGAGCGGAACGCCCGCTCCCTGTCGCAAGCGATTCTTGCGGTTTTCGGCCTCCAGGCCTTTCAAAAACGATTCGGGCAGAAGAGCTGTCTCTGGGGGAGCTGGACTGCCGCGTTTTCCTCTGGACTGCCCGTGCTCCTCTGGACTACCGCGTGTTTTTTTCTCTCCCCCCAACCATCTTGTGGTGTTGGGTCCTCGTTTTGAAGAGACGGCGCCCCGCGTCACTCCTCCGCCTCCTCCTCTTCCCTCTCCCTCCTCCTCCTCCTCCCCCTCCCCCCCTCCCTGCCTACCACCCAGTACAGCGTTTCGTTCGCCCATGGGGAGCACCACGGAAGGCCCCAGTGCTACCGCCTGCATGCGTCACCCACACCCATTTCGGCACACCCCTCACACGTTTCGTGGCCCCATAGGGAGCTCCACCGCAGGCCCCACTGCCACCGCCCGCATACGTCACTCACCCAGTTCGGCACACCCCGCACACGTTTCCTGACCCCATCGAGAGCTCCACCGAAGGCTACAGTGTTTCGTGGCCCCACTGAGAATTCCACCGACGGCCCCAGTAGCTGCTTTCGCATGTGCCCACCAGACAACTTTTGGCACACCCCTCACACGTTTCGTGGCCCTACAGGGAGCTCCTCCGAATGCGTTGCATGCAACGGCGGTTCTCACAACTGCAGATGGTTAGGTCCTTCGCCAAGCTAATTTCTGCCTGGCGCTGCTAGCTGCCGCCGCAATTAGAGGTTCGGCTCGTCGGCTCGAGCCTGGACTGGCTCTGGTCGTGCGCACTGTAACTAGGAAGTGGCAGGCCTACCCTGGAATCCGCGATGCCGTGCGTTTTCTCCCAAAGGTCCCATTGAGGAGGCGGGCCGAATTTCTATGGCCCTTGGGGGGAGCCTTTTTCGCCAGGGCGAAGTCGTGGCTCGGTTAATGAAACAACTTGACAGGAAGGCGTTCAGGAAGAGTCTCGGGACTAAGTTGTTCTGAGCGCTTCCGCATGCAATGTCTCACTTCTCGGTTCTGCGTCGGCGCCGAATCTCAGTTTTTTCGTATATTCTCGTTCTATTGCTCGCTTGCTCCCCCTCTCTCCGTGTTCTCTCTTTCTTCTTCCCTCTGCGCTGTTAGTAGCTCTCTTCTCCCCTCCCTCCCTCGAAATCACACACACACACTTCTTCATAGCAGTGGCCATCCTTTTGCATGTCTCTCTCGCACTCTTTCTCTGTCTCTCTCTCTCTCTTTTTTTTTTTTTCCCCCCCCCCCCATTTTTTTTTTTTTTTTTTTTTTCTCTCTCTCTCTCTCTCTTTCTCTATCCCTCTCCCTCTCCCTCTCCCTCTTCCTCTGCGTCTCCCTTCCTCCCTCCCTCCTTCCTTCTCACTTCCTCTCCCTCCCTCCCTGTCGCCACGGGCCCAGAGGCTCCCTGAACGAGGGACTGGCGTCCTCGTTCCTCTCTCCTATCTTCCCTCTCCTCCCTCCTTCTCCCCCGTTGGCACTTTTGGCAGATGCATGTACCTGCGGGGACAGATCGGTTTTCTGCTTGCTGCCCCTTCCTCAGCCTCCTGTCTCATGAAGATCACTCTGGGCACCTCTAGACTCTGTGCGCCTTCGGGTCCGCAAGCGAGCGCGCGGTAGCCCAGGGCAAGGGCGAGGCCGAGCCGAAGGCCAAGGCCAAGGCCAAGACCAAGGCGAAGGCCAGGGGCGCCGCCCGGATCGGCTGCTGGCTGCTACCGCGAGCGAAGCCAGAGGCCGATCCCTGAGGTCCTGGCGACGCACTTTTGCTCACAACGAGCGCTTGCGCCCAGTTTCGGGCCCCAGGGCCTTCACAGATCGATCTGGTTCGAACCGTGACGCAGCAGGATGGGGCCCGGGACTCCAGCCGTGATTTTTCGCGATGTTGCATGTTTTGCAGCGTCAGATTTGAGGATTTATCGATTCGACAGGGGGGTCCTTCTGGGGGGTATCCTTGGGGGCCGTCGAAGTAGCCCAACGGGACGCGATGCGGCCAGGTGGGCGGCCTGAACAGAAAGGGGTGGTGGTTCCTTTTCAGTGTCTTGCAGTTCTGGGATCTCCCTGGGCCCTACGGTCCCCCTCTGCGCTGCACATGTCATGCAGGCCTGGGACAAACAGAAGCCAGCTCCAGAGCGTCCCGAACTGCCCTCGGAGCGTTCCCCAGCGCTCCAGTCCGGCCGCGATGCCCAGCACATCCTCTGGACCAGCCGGCTCTGAGATATCCCGGCTTCTCTCTTTGCCCGATGTTGTCTTCGTCCTGGCTTCGTCTCAGCCTGGACCTCCGGTCCTCCAAAGTTTCCGGGAGAGGGGGCTGTCGAACGCCCCAGTCGGCCTCCCGGCTCCGCTCCGCAGGCAGCTCCGAGTGCACCCAGGCGGACCCACGAAGGCCCCGAGGTCGAGGCTGCCAGATATACATATATTTATATATATATATATACACAATGATATTTATAATTGTGTATCATTTTTCCTGGGCACATGATGGTCAGGCAGGGGTGCACCTGGCGAGTCTCCTTTGACAATACGCGCACTGCTGCCGTTCGCGGCTCGAGCGGACCGATCCCACTGGCGAAGCCGGTCTCGGCGCTGTCTGCGCTTGCGCTTTGAGACTGCTAATTGCGTCAAGTCAGCCGAGGGGGAGTTCGTATAGTCTTGCGCTGCTCCTCGGCGCGCCTGGCTGAGGGATGACTCCGCGGCCAAGGGTCTCGTCGTTGTCGTCCGCGACCCGCGCCCGCGGCGGGGCTACAAAGGGGCAATGTTGAGGGTGGGGAATCAGCTCAGGGGGGGACGCATCGACCCCGAGTCGCCCATTCATCGCCGCTAGGGGCCCGATAGCCCATCCCGCCCAGACGCGTGCGTCTTCGCTATCGGGGGCCTGTCGCCGATCGGTCGGCGATGTACTGCCGATTACAGCTCGATGTCTCCACCCCGGATCCGGCCCTCCCCTGACGTCCCCCCTCACCCCCGACCAGCGCCCGCGACCCATCCACGACGTCCCCCGATCAGCCCGCGAGCGCCTGCGACCTGGCTGTGTTGGGGGCTCAAGTTGCCTGCTGTGCTCGTTTGGGAGCTGCCACGAGGTGATGACAGCGCATAGCAGGCGCATGCTGTGCTCAGGCTTTGTTGAGATTGAACAAACGGCTGCCAGCGACGAAACTGTGCTTCTTTCTGGGGTGGGGATGTTGTCATCCATACCATGCAACGGTCCCGAGGGCCCTGAACGCGCCCTGAACGTAGCGCACGACAGCCCTGAAGACTTGCACTTGTTGCTAGAGTCGTCGGCTGCGGAATGGGACGTTGCAGTCGCGAACTGTTGCAAGTCGTTCGTGAAGCAATTCGGCACGCCTGCAATGGAGCAGACTCTCCGCAGGTGGCACCACCCTGCGACCCATCTGCCACCTGCCTGCCGCACTTGCCTGTCTCGGCGGCGGGCGCGGGGGGGAAATGAGAAGGGGCGGGGCTTCCGATGCTTCTGAGAAGTTTCTGGACTTCTGAGAGGGCTTCTGAGAAGTTCTGTCTGTATTCGAAATAGGCCGAGGAAACGTCTAAGAAGCCCCCCGGACTTCTAAGAAGTCCCGCGGCCTTCTGAGAAGGCCTTCTCCTTCTCATTTCCCCCCTGGGCTCGTCGCCTACTGTCTGCGAGGGGACTGCCGCGTGCGCGGTGGGCGAAGCCTCTCGCGGAGCCGTCGCTCTCCACGCGATGCGCGAGCCGCACGGCGACCCGCACGGGGGCCCGCCCGTGGCCCGCCCCGCGCGCGATATCCGCTTGCGGCCCCGCGTCCGGTGCCCTCCCGCAGCCTGCCTGCCGCGTGGGCCACCTCTCCTCCGACTGCTCCGAGTGAGGGGCTCTGGGCGGTCCCCTTCGCGCGGCGGGTGCGAGCCTTCCAACCTGCCCTGTCCGCTCCGTCCAGGCCGCACCCGCCACCCTCCTCTGTGAACGCGGGGCTTTTTTTTGCGGGGGGGGAGTGACGCCAATGAGTGCCCACAGTCGTTGCTTGTCGATCTGGTGAACGTGGTGTCGGGCGTCAGGCCTCCATGTTTACGTAAGTACCTGCGGTTGCCCAAGAGGGCCTCAAGAGGCCAACTTCACTTATTATGCTAAGGTTTTTGGCCTTCTCGCTTTTTAGACTTCCCGACGCTACCAGACGGCCCTGGAGGCCCCCAAGACCGCCCCAAGACGGCCCAAGAGGCCCCCCCAAGAGGGTCCCAAAACAGCCCAAGACCGCCCCAAGGCGGCCCAAGAGGCGCCAAAACAGCCCAAGAGGGCCCCGCGAAGACGGCCCTAAAGGGGGCCCAAGAGAGGGAACACGAACCGAAAATCCGAGTCTTGCCTTTCCTTCTCATGCCCTTCCACATGTCGGTTTCTCTTACAGCTCCGGGAAGAGGGCGCGCGTCGCCGATGCGCCACCGGGGGGGCGACCGCTCACCTGCCACCCCGCACCCGTCGGGTCGCCGTCCCCCCCTGATCTCTCGACCACTCCGCCAGGACCTCTCTCCGTGCGCGTCGTTCGACTTTTGTTTAGGGCCTTGGCGCCCAGGAAAGGGTCTCTGCCTCGACTGCTTCGGGCTGCCACAGGGTCCTGGCCCCGACCTCGATCGATCAGTCGGGGCCTCGCGGGGCCATGCCCGCGGCTGAGCGATTTGAGCGCAAGTCGTGACGTCGTCGGCGGTGGCGTCGGCGTCGGCCTCGGAGGCGTCGGCGTCGGCGTCGGCGTCGGCGGCGTCCTCGTCGGCGTCGTCGTCTTCGTCGTCGTCGGCGTCGTCGTCGTCGTTATCGTCGTCGTCGGCGTCGTCGGCGTTGTGTGCGTCGTGTGCGTCGGGTCGGCGTCGTCGTCGTCGTCGTCGTCGTCGTCGTCGTCGTCGTCGTCGTCGTCGTCGTCGTAATCGTCGTCGTCGTCGGGGACAGGCCACGTCGCGCCGCGCAGCGCGCGCCCCCACGTGGAGCCCGCATTCACCCTGGAGGGGCGCTTCGCTGCGGTGAGCTCACTGCCCGCTCACTGCGGCGAGCCTCGGCCTGCCTCCGGGAGCACGTGGCCCCGCGTGCGTCGCCCGCCTCGTCCGTGGGCTGCGGCGCACGCGGCCGTCCGTCGGGCCCGCCCCCGAGATCCTGGCGCCGCAATTTTTTCAAGGCGGGAGTTTTCGTAGATTTGGCTCGACGAATGACATCTGGATGTGGTCCGATCCGAGGCGCCGGTGGTGATTTTTTGGGATGCTGTATTTTTTGGCGAGGGTCGATCGATGGCCGTCCCTGGGGCGCCCGCGTAGCCACACGGCTGGATCCGTCTCACAGTTCAGGTTTGGGCGCACCCCAGGAGCGGTTCCGATGCCGATTTTGAGCCTCGCACCCAGTCCTCTCCGCGCGAAACAAATTGCGACCTTACCTTCTCTTGGCTCTGGGGCATCCAGCAGTTCGTTTCGGGCTTCTTGGGCCGTCAAAGAACGGCGGGTTCGAGAGGTCCAGGAGCTCAGGCCTCGAAAACGCCACGACATCGGATGTGCCAGCGATCACACAACGATCATTTGTTTATCCTGCCGTACTCGGCGGAGGGGATGTGGCACGGAACAGTGGAGGACTCGCCGAGGACTTTGCCGACCGTCGGTGTGATCTCGCTGCCCAAGCTTGCTCGATCCTGGAACGAGAGGTCCGGGAGCTCAGGCCTCCAAACAGTCACAACATCAGACGTGCTGGGCCGGCGGCCCTGGCCGCGAAGTGTCCACCGTTCCGATCCTGGCCAGCCCATGGGGTTCGGCAGGCGCTGGCCTCTCGGCTTGCGGCTCCTGCCCTCTTCGGGGGCAACGTCGGGAGGGGGGTCTGCTCAGGGGGGATGCATCGACCACCAGGACGTCGCATGCCTGGGACGGGCGCCTCTGCATCGTTTGGGGCCCTGAGGCTCAGGGGCCGCGTGAGGTTTGGGGTTTGTGGGTTCTCGTAGGTTCTCGATGATTTTCCAGCCTCGCGGTGCTCTCCAGCGGCTGCGCCTCGCCGGGGGCGTTCCGGGGGTGCCCGGACCCGAACAGCCGCCGGGGAGCCGAGTCATGACCCGACAACCAGGGGGTCAAGTTCGGGGGGATAGGCGAGGAGGAGGAGGAGGAGGAGGAGGAGGAGGAGGAGGAGGAAGAGGAAAAGGAGGAGGAGGAGGAGGAGGAGGAGGAGGAGGAGGAGGAGGAGGAGGAGAGGAGGAGGAGGAGGGGAGACAGCGCCCCTCCGGCCCGCTGTGTCGACCCCTGTTCGCCCACTCCTCGCCGAGGAGGGCCCGACAGTCCCCCCCCCCCCACAAGCCCACGACCGTGCGGCTTCGCTCTCGGGGGCGCGCATCGCCGATCTGTCGGCGGTGTACTATACCGATTCCAGGTCGAGGTTTCCCCCCCCCCCCCCCCCGTGATCTGGCGTCCCCCCCCCCCCCCCGGCGTTGCCCCTCGTGCCCGCCTACCTTCTGCCCCGCCGCTCCTCCCCGGGCGCCCATGGCGGCTCGAAGAGCCGAGGCGGCCGGATGTCCGCAGCTCCGGGCCTCTTCCTCATATCGGGAGCGGAAAAGAGGGGGGTGAGGACTAGGGGGGGGTGGATATCATGGCGTCGGCCATGATATCTCCCCAGATTTCATGGCGCCTCCTCTTATTTCATTACGTCCCTGGCCCCCCCGCTGGGCCGCGCACATGCCGCCGGTCATGATTTGCGCCCCCCCCTCTTTGACGCCCCCCTCTTTGCCGCCCCCGATCATAGGGGGGGTCGGTGAGGTCCAGGGGGCCACGTCTCGAGACGTCGAGCACAGTCGGCCCGGACCAGTGGGCCGACCCTGCCGAATCGAGGGTACCTGTGTGTGTCCTGTGTCTCGCGACCCGTGCCTCCTGCATTCCTGTGGCAGTGTGGCCCTCGGGAAAAGGGTCTTTTGTCCTCTCGCGCGTCCTGCCCAATCGAGTCCGACTGTAGCCGACTGTCTGTCTGGGTGCTTCTTCGCTTCGCCTCTTCCCGGCCAGCCTCGGCTCAACTCGCCGACCTCGCGCGGCCCCCCCGGGAGCTCGAGGCCGCCCGCACCGCACGCGAAATCCTTCACGCTCCCAGTGCGCCTTCCTTCCTTTCGGCCACGCGCAGAGGGGGGTAACTGCTCCCTGCTTCTCAGAAGGCGCGGGCCTTCCCTATGGATGTAAGGCTGGCGCCTTCTAAGATGCAGCCTCCTTCTAAGAAGCTTTCTCCCCTCCCCCAACCTTGTGCGCACCGCCACTCCGTTCCCTCCTCCGCGGCCGCCCTCTGCTGCTCCGCTCTGTGATGTACGCCATTCGCCTACTCCAAACTGCTCAGTGAGCACCCTCCCCACGCCACTCCGCTCGACGGCTCGTCCCAGCCCCTCCCGTGCGCGCCGACCCCCCCCCCACGCCATCCCCCCCCACGCCCAGCGCCAGACAGGCTCATTCTGCACTCCCACGCGACCCCCCCCTTCGCTCGTTCACACATCGGGTCGGGCGAAAGGAGAGATGGGTACGAAGTCTGCTGCGTGCACCGGACAGGCCTGCTATACCCCTCCACGCGACCTCCCCCGCGCTTGTTGAGCAACTCGGGGTAGCAGTGGCCCCCGCCGAGGCTTCGGACGGGGCGCGCGATCGCCATCTCTGCGAAACGCCAGAAGGCTGCGTCATACGCCCCGCTCCCAGCCTCTGGCCCCGCGGCTTCAGACGTCCTGGCTCCGCCGACCCTGGAAGCGGCCTGGCCCTGCGAGCCCCAGAGCCTCAGGCCTCCAGGCCTCGCGGCCTGGCCTGCCCCGCTCCTCCTCCTCTCTTCAGGGCTACAGTCGGGGCGTTGACCTAAAGAACCCTAAATAAGGACCGAGGCCCCTTTTTTCCATGAGTTAAGCTTCGATGTCCCATCGAAAACGTAAGGAACACCTGAGGCAAGCTGTGAAACACTTGAGGAACACGGAGCCCCTCCCCAACGAAAAGGGTTCCTTCTTCAGCGACCTGACTGTATCGTCAGGGGAGGCTAGACTCAGGGGGAACGCATCGACCCCGAATCGCCCACTGATCGGCGACAGGGGCCCAAAAGCCCACCCCGCCCAGGAGCGTGCGGATTGGCCATCAGGGGCCTGCCGCCGATTTGTCGGCGATGTGCCGCCGATTCCGGGTCGATGCTTCGCCAGGAGGAGGAGGAGGAGGAGGAGGAGGAGGAGGAGGAGGAGGAGGAGGAGGGGGAGGAGGAGGAGGAGGAGGAGGAGGAGGAGGGAGGAGGAGAGGAGGAGGAGGAGGAGGAGGAGGAGGAGGAGGAGGAGGAGGAGGAGAGGAGGAGGAGGAGAGGAGGAGGAGGAGGAGGAGAGGAGGAGGGAGGAGGAGGAGGAGAGGAGGAGGAGGAGGGTAGGAGGGGTGAGGGAGAGGATGAGGAGGAGGAGGAGGAGAGGAGGAGGAGAGAGGAGGAGAGAGGAGGAGGAGGAGGGAGGAGAGGAGGAGGAGGAGGAGGAGGAGGAGGAGGTGAGGAGGAGGAGGAGGGAGGAGGAGGAGGAGGAGGAGGAGGAGGCGGAGGAGGAGGAGAGGAGGAGGAGGAGGAGGAGGAGGAGGAGGAGGAGGGATGAGGAGGGGAGGAGGAGGAGGAGGAGGAGAGGAGGAGGGGGGGGCGCGCGGAGCAGCTGGCCCCCCGCCAGCTCCCGGAGCGCAGGGGCGCCGCGGGCCTCGGGCGGCCCGTTCGGGACGGTTCGGGCATTCCCAGAGCGCTCTCGGCGAGGCGCAGTCGCTGGCGGGCATCCCGAGGCTGGAAAGCCGCCTGGAGCCGACGATAACGCCCGAGAACCTCGGGCCCTCGAGCCCTCGAGCCCTCGAACCTCGACCCTGGAGCCCCCCTCGCTTTGCCCCTCACCTCTGCCCTGACCCTGCAGGTCGCTCACGTTTTTTTTGGGGTGATCGATCATGGACCCTTTGGGAACCGCAGCTATCCTGCCTTCTTGCCGAAAACCGCAGGCAATCGCCGAAGACCGCCAGAAACCGACGAAGACCGCCGATGACCACAGACCCTCAGAAGCTGAACACCGCCGACGACCACCGAAGGCGGCCCAGGGCTGGTGGGCAACAATCGGCGGCGCGTCTGGGGGGAAGTGAGAAGGAGCGGGCCTTCTCAGGGCTCGGAAGTCCCCGGCCTTCTGAGAAGTTTTCGAACTTCCCCCGACAACGCAGAACACCTTGCAGAAGGCGCGAGGGCTTCTGAGAAGTCCCGCCGCCTTCCGAGAAGGCCTTCCCCTTCTCACTTTCCCCTCGCTCGCCGCCGACACAAAGGGTCCATAGTCGAACGCGTAATTAACGATTTCCCTCTCTGGCCGCTGGGCAGTCGCCTCCTTCCGGCGCCCGCGCGCGTGCGCCTCGCCGGGCGCAGGCGGGGGCTGCCGAGCCGAAGGCGAAAGCGAAGGCGAAGGCCAAGGCGATGGCCGCTGCCTGCCGCCTCCCACACCTCCTGCTGAGGAGGAGGAGGCGGAGGAGGCGGAGGAGGAGCAGCAGGCGGAGGAGGAGGCGCGTGCCCTGCAAGCGGCGCGACTGGGGGCGTGTCCGCCCTCTGCCCGCGGCCGCGCCCCGGCGACGCACCCTCGCTCCTCCATGCCGCCATGGCGCCCGCTACATCCGAGCGGCGAGGGGCCCGCGCCCGCCCGCCAGGTTCAACATGAATCACCACCTACCAAACCACCCCAACCCAACCCGAAGGCCTCAATTTGCCCTCCATTTCCAGTGTGGGGGGGTCCTGGAACGTTGAAAAAACACATGGAACCCGTACCCCCCCCAACCCGAAATTCGGGTCAAATTCGGGTCTTCGGGTTGGGTTGGGGTGGTCTGGTAGGTAGTCAATGAAGGCTGGCTGCGAGACCGATTTCGGGTCCCTGCGGCCAAGGCTCCACGCGACCATCTGCCGCACGGGCTCTGCAGCAAGGCTTCAAAGGCCACCGTCCTGCGCCGACGTTGCCCTTCTCGCTGCATCATGTCGTCACCACCCTCCTGAAAAGTATGCCAACGAGCGGAGCTACCAGCACATAGTCATCGAAGTCGACAAGGCCGTGGACACCGGGCCCTGGACACCATGCGGGCAGAACTGGCCGCAACATCGACGCCGAGAGCGCCTGTCGCCAGCGTGGCCTACCCCTCGAAGAAGTCGCTTGCGAGAGCGGCCACTTCAGCCATTGCCAGATCGCCGGAGCGCCGAGCTCTGCCCTCCGGCCCTGCGCCAGTCTGGAGGGAAAGAAACACACAGACACAATTCATCGTCGACTCCCAGGAAACTGTGGGAACATATGAGAAGTGTGGGGGAAGACGAAAACCCAGAAAACATGGGAGAATATGGGGAATCTGGTTATTTGTGTCCCTTTATGTGTGTGTGTGTGTGTGTGTGTGCCCCTGGGCCCCGTCAGCCAGACGCTGACAGTGCCACCGAGGACCACAGGGCCGACCAGGCGGATGAGCTGCCGCGAGGTCCGGAGCCGCGGGCGCCGCACGACCCGCTCCCTGGCCCCCGTGGTCGAGACGCCGAGGCGGGCCGAGGCCGCCGCTGCCCGCCCCGCAGGTGTGCGCACGCCGTCGCAGTGGACAGCGCGGACGGGGCTCCGAGCACCTCGGCCATCCACTACCAGCCTGGAACGTATCCCTATCCCTATGTTTGACATCACCTCACCTCGATGCCGATCTTGAGGGTTCCCTCAGTTTTTGAGGGCCTATCCCCAAGATTGTCCTCGCTCTTTGCTCGCCCATCTTAGGGATAGGGATACGTTCGAGGCTGGTTGATCCAGGCCACCCTCAGCCTGTTCGGCGCCATCGTTCCCGTGGGGGTCCTGAGCGGGCGCGCCGCAGTCCGCCCTGGCAGCCCGCAAGCTTGTTGCCGAGTGCCTCAGCTGCAAGACGCTCAGGGGCCTGGTATACCGCGTCTGCCGCGGCGGCCCCAAGGACCAAGAACCGGTTGAGAGTGCAGTCTCGCTACCGTCCCCTGTGTTCCCGGCCTGCTTGCTCTGCATTCCGCCCTTGCCCGTGTCTCTCGCTTGCCTTCTCCTCTTTCTCGTTTGTGGGGCGGGCGCGGGAAGGGGAATGTCAGGATATGAACAGGGGCGGGGCGACGCCCGCTAAGGTGCCTTCCCGCCGAGCAGTCTCCCCCCTCCTCTGGATGAGTTTCCCGCCCCCCGGGCGCCCTAGGTCACCGAGCGCGTTCCACTATTCGCAAAGTGCCTACTCGCAAACGTCCGAAAAACAGATGTCGGCTTCGATGCAATTCTCGTAGATCCCCCGCGGCGGATCCAGGCCATTTGCGAGCAGTTCCTCTGCGAGTAGTGGAACGCGCTCGTCTACCAGGGGCCGAACCAAAAACAAAACAGCAGGCCCGCTGCGTGGGCGGGGGGTCTCTCCTCGCCTGTCTGCCCGCACCCGCAGCGCGCGCCGCGCCGGCTCTGGCCGTCTGCCCCGCCGGCCACCTGCCGCGCCGGACCCTGCAGCTCGCCCCGCCCTCGTCGCGCTGGCTCCTGCCACCTGCCCCGCCGGCCCACCTCCAGCGGTCTGCCCCCTCTCGGAGGTTGGCAGACCTCCTACGCCGACACGTCGATTAGCGAATTGGCCGTTCTCGGCTCGCGAGAGGGCGTCGCGGCCGTCATTTCTGCGGGCCCAGGTCCGCCGGGTTCGGTCCTGGGCCGTTTTCGCCAAATGGAGGTTTACTAGAGGGAGGTAGGTTTGTCCACCGCCGACAGCGGCAGCTCCCGAGTTGTGCTCTCGCCAGAGTGTCTCGCAGAGATTCTCTGAGCATGTTGCTCCCGCCTGTGCGCGGCAGTGCTCCTTTCTCCGGCAAGGCCGTCGGAGATGGGGCCGCGCGCGAGCGCTTTCCATTCGCGGGGTGGAAGCGCTCGCTGGTCCCCATGTCTGTTTGCGCCGCCATGCATCTGTATGGTAGAGTTGTGGAAGTCGATCAATGGAGAGGAAGTGTGCTGCCAAATGATTCCCAGATGTCTAAAACATGGTTTAGTATGTGATATCATGTTGTTGGAACATGTTTTACACATTTCGGATACATTTTTAATTCCATGATAGGATTGTTAGAGTGTCCATTGTCATGGCATCCACAATGTTAGAGATGGAGGGTGGGGGAGTGGGCGGGGCCCGCTGATTCGTTCGAGCCGGCCAGTTCGACTCCACTCCGGCCCGCACCCTTGTTTACATTCTGCTGCTGTCTCTCGAACCCCCGTGTCCCACTGCCGCCCCCCTTCCACTTGCAGTGCCGTTCCACTCCCTCCGCTCCAGCGAAGTACTACTCCTGTTATTTCTGCACCTTTCTGGGCCACTCCCACTACGGAAAAGAAGGGCAATCTGAGACTGACCAGGAGGGTGGGGAGGATAATGACATTATTGAAAGACCGAGGGCGATCATGAGGATGAGGATGAGGGTATGGCTGATGATGCTGCTGCTGACGGCGATGATGTTGGTGCTTCTGCTTCTGATGGAGATGATGTTGCTGCTGATGATTCTGGCGACGCCGATGCTGCTGCTGATGGTGACGATGACGGTTATTATGATCATGGGTCTGATCACGAGGATTGGCATGCGCAGGGTTATGATGATGACGCTGATTGCAATGATGGTGGTTGTGGTAATGACGACGATGATGAATCGACTGGTGTTGTTCATGACGTTGAGGAGGACGATGATGGCGATTATGAACGTACTGTTGATGATGACGGTGATGATTACGATGCTGACGACGATCATGGTGGTGATGGTTATGACGATAGTGCGGGTGATGTTGCGGATGATGACGACAATGATGGCGACGATGGTTGTGGTGGTGACTGTGTCGAGGATGATGGTGTTTGTTATTATGTTGATGGTGGTGGTGGTAGTGGTGTTAAAGATGTGGGGTCGCATGGGGTCATTCGTAACAAGGACGATCATATCGGGGAGAACGGCAGGATCAACATGAGAGGGAGCACGAGGGAGATGATACAGTGACCCTGCGCTGGCTCTGGGGCCTTTCATCAACTAAGCTGCGTGTGTGGTCGACGCGCAGGGCTGCTGCTCCCAGCCCAATCCTGAGCGCGCGCACGCGCGAGTCGCGCGCGCGCGGAGTGGCTGTAGCACCACGCGCACGCCTACAGACCACCTGTGCAGATCATGAGGCGGTGGCTGCACTGTTCCCCTGCCTCGCCATGGAGGCTCATGCGCCGATCCTGCACACGCCCCTTCCTCCTGCGAGCTCCCTTGCCTGGCATCGCTCGGATGTGTGTATTTTTTCCTCGGCGAGGACCCTTGAGGACCATCCTGGACCATCGAGCAAAGAACGACACGCACGAAGCCGAAAAACGCACGGGAAATGGACGTCCGAGCGACGGCAAGACTTTGGCTTCTGATCCCCCTGCGGCGGCCGAGTGCTCCGTGTCAGCATGCTGCTGGGCCTCGACCCCGTGCTCACTCGGCGGCCGAACGGGCTCGGGCGCCGAGGGGGCTCGGGCGGGGGCCCTGGGCCGGGGTGGCCTGGCCAGGGACGGCGCAGGTGGGTACTCTGCGTTTGGTAAGCGTCGGAGAGGGCGGCGGCCTGCTCAGCAGGCGGCGGGGCTTCGGAGAAGGCCTCGCGCCTGCCGCAGAGCCCTCCGGGCCTTCCCCGAAGCCACGGCCGGCCCTCTCAGGATGCGCGGGGGCTTCCGAGCAGCCCCGCCGCCTTGGAGAAGGCGGGCCCCCATGCGGGCCGCCGAAAGGAGCGCCAGTGGGTCGTCGCCCCTGCCGGCAGCTCCAAGCCGACCTCCCCACTGGTGACCCCCCCGCGCGTCGAATGGCGCCGCGCCCTCGGGCGCGCCTCGCCGACGCGGCGAGGCCGGTCCCCGTCGGGGGGTGCTCCAGAGCGTTGAGCCGTCCAGGCCTCCCAAACGGGGCTGCAGTTTTGTTGTTGTTGTTGTTGTTGTTGTTGTTGTTGTTGTTGTTGTTGTTGTTGTTGTTGTTGCTGCTGTTTTCTTTTTCTGGTTTGAGGTCTGAGTGTTTCGGGCAATGTCGTTGGCCTCGGGGTGCTCTCCAGCGGCTGTGCCTCGCCGAGGGCGCTTCGGGGGTGCCCTGATCGTCCCGAACGGTCGCTGGGGAGCCGAGTGATGACCCGAAAGTCATGGAGCAACGTCAGGGGGTGATAGGCTCAGGGCGGAACTCCAGGCCTCCCAGATGGGGCCGGAGGAGATGGGGCCGGAGGATTGCGAGCATCGCCGACGTGTCGGCGATGCGGCTGGATGTGGACGTCGCCGTTGCATCGCCGACGACGCCGATGCATGTTTTGGGGATGCATTGGCGATGGGGCGAGATCCTCCGACTCCATCTACTCGGATGCCATTGGGGAGCACTCTAAATAAGCACTCATCATCCCATGCCACTCCGCTCGACGGCTAGTTTCAACCGCCTCCACCTCGCGCGCCCAGGGCAAACCCTCGGGCGATCCCCCTTCCACTCCCAGCGCCGGACAAGCTCATGCATTCTGCACTCCCACGCGGTGCTTTCCCCCCACCCTTCGCACATTACGGAACCGGATCGGACGAAAGTCAGGAGCGGTAAACAGGCACGAACACAAATTAATGTTGATTTCTGGGAGAATTTGGGACAATATGGTAAAAGGAGGGGAACAGGAAAACTCAGTGAATATGGAAAGATACGCAACATCCTGGAATGTGTCTCTAGTGATTTGTGTGCCCCTGGCCCCCTTCAGAAAGGAGTGGACAGGGAAAGCGGGAATACGAACTCTGCTGCCTGCAGCCTGTTTGGGTCTAGCCGTTGGGCACTTTCCTCTACACTGGAGCCTCCAGCGCTGGGAGGCGCTGGCGAAAACAGCTCCGTGATGTGATTCGCTAACCTCCTTTGATTTCGAGGGACAAAAACGGCATACACATAAAGTTTAGAAGCTCCGCGCGGACATCAGTTTATGTTCGTGTTGTTGTTGTTGGTTCCTCTGTTGCTATGTTCCCCCTGGTCGTGACCCGAACGGAGAAACGCGGAGTGCTCGCCCCGCGCTCAGCTAAGAAGCTCAGCTAAGAAGCTCAGGGTAGCCCGTGCCCTGTCGGGTCCCCCTAGACGGGGACTTGATAAACCAGGACGCTTGCGCGCCTGAGAGAACGGCAGCCGTGAGTGAGAACATTCTCCATCTTTCGCTCCTTCCAGGTGGAATAGAGGTCCTGGTTAGCCATGTCCTGATCCACGGGGCCCCGACGGAGTAACTGAACAAGAGTTGCTGCAGAACGCTCGTGGTTTCACCTAATCATTCCCGTTTCACCCTATCTCCACCGCGTTTCTGTCGTACACGGCTGTGTTTTTTTCTGTCTGACAGAATACCCACCCCGCGCTCAACTATGAAGCTCAGGGTAGCCTGTGGCCTTCCGAGCGGTTGACTGGTCCCCTGGGCATGTGGCCGGCCCGCGCCGCAGGCGGAGCCGAAGGCAAAGGCCAGGGCGCGGGGCGCGGGCGCTGCGTCTGCCTCGCCGCCGCCGCCGCCGCCGCCGTCGTCGTCGTCGTCGTCGTCGTCGTCGTCGTCGTCGTCGTCGTCGTCGTCGTCGTCGTCGTCGTCGTCGGCGTCGTCGTCGTCGACAAATCGAGGCCGCCGTCAACGAAAGGGGGTTTCCTCGACCCCGAAGGCGCTTCGCGCTCTCCCCCTCCCCAGCCGCCTGCCGCCTGCTGCTGCCGGCAGGTGGCACGCCTGCTGCTCTTTCTCCTCTCGGGCGGGGCCAAGACAGGGGCAACTCGTTCCAGAGCTTTCCCGAACTCTCTCAGAGCGTTCGGGAGCGCTCTAAGAAGGCCGCGGCGCCCGATACATCCTTCAGAACTGCCAGAACCGTTGGATCTCGGAGATTCCCGATCTATCGCTGGCTGATTTTGTCCTCGTCCTGGCTTTGTCTTATCCTCCGCCCCTGGCACCCGCGCGTCGTGAAAGCGAGCACGGCCGTTCTGCTGCTTTTGCCGGAGGCCATCCCGCACAGAGGTCGGGCCACGAGAGGACCGCCCCCCTCTCCTCTGGACTGCATTTTTACACCCCGAGCCGCCCTGTTGGCTCTAGGTCACCCCCAGGGGCGCGAAGAGAATCGCGCTTCTCGCGTCGCGGTCTGGGCTAGAGCGGCTGCCCTTCTCCAGGGTGTGTGTGTGTGTGTGTGTGTGTGTGTGTGTGTGTGTGTGTGTGTGTGTGTGTGTGTGTGGGGGCGAGAGCGCGAGGGCGCGAAGATGCCTCGCGTCGCGCATCGCGCCCCGCGATGCGTGAAGTCAGGCAACTTGGAGGGAGCCCCCCACCTCTCGGATACTGACTCAGATGAGAAGGGGAGCAGGGGAGGAGGAGGAGGGGGAGAGTAATCATAGCAATAGTAATGATACGAATAAGGACAAAACGACGAATCATACTCATAATAGTGATAACATGAACAATATCAAACATACGAATCATACGAGTATCAGTAACAACATCAATGCTAGAACAACCAATAACCCTATGCCTCGGATAATAATCCCACAGGGATAATAAATTTCGGGGTCGCGGGGGGATTATAAGTGTTGCCCACCGGAGGCCAACATAAAGAGATGATCAAGAGGAGCGAAAGCCGAGGATATCTTGAGACATCCTTGGCTGTTGGTCATCTCTGAGACATCCTCAACAATGGCTTGTCTCGCTTGAGGCATCCTCGACAAATCTCTCGTTCCGCTTGAGACATCCTCGAAATAATTGTTTGCTTCGCTTGAGAGATCCTCGACAAATCTCTCGTTTCGCTGGAGACCTCCTCGACTTCGCCTGAGACATCGTCAAAGAATTCTTTGTTTTGCTTGAGACATCCTCGAAACAATTGTTGGTTTCGCTTGAGGCAGCCTCGAACAATTGCTGGTATCGCTTGAGATTCCTATGGATTCTTTATAGATTCCTATGAGTCTTTTACTATCTGTCATATAACTGAATTGACGCTTGCGTCGGCCTCCTTAAAGAGCTCCATGGATAGTTCACCCCAGCGATACAAACGTTCAGGGGGCCAGGGAGAGAAGGAGCGAGAGAAAGAGAGAGAGAGAGAGAGAAGAGAGAGAGAGAGAGAGAGAGAGCGATAGAGAGAGAGAGAAAGAATATTTAGACACAGATAAACAGAGAGAGAGAGAGAGAGAGAGAGAGAAAGAGAAGAAACGAGCAGGAGAAGGAGAGGAGGAGGAGGAAGCAACAATCCAAAGTTCAAAGCCTATTAGATTTTATGTGTAAGCGCTTAATGGAAATTCAGATTTTCATCTGCTCGTGTAGGGTAGCTCATCTGCTTCGTTTTCCCAGGATAGTCAACCACAGCGGTAAAACAAGTTCAGGAGGGCACGGAAAGAAGGAGAAAGGTTGAGAGAGAGAAAGAAAGAAAGAGGAAGAGAAAGATAATGAGAGACAGAGAGAGATAGAGATACAGAGAGAAAGAGAGAAAGAGGTTGAGAGAGAAAGAGACATATATATATAAATACATATATAGAGAGAGAGAGAGAGAGAGAGAGACGGAGAGAGAGAGAGAGAGAGAGAGAGAGAAAGAGAGAGGAGAGGAAGATGAGAAGGAGGAAGAAAACATGCAAAGCTCAAACTTATTAGATTTTATTTGTAAGCGCTTAATGGAAATTACGATTTTCACCTGCTCGTGTAGGGTAGCTCATCTGCCTCGTTTTCCCAAGATAATCAACCACAGCGGTAAACAAGTTCAGGGCGCCAGGGGGAGGAGGAGGAGGAGGATGAGGAGGAGAGGAGAAGGAGAAGAGAACGACAGGATTCCTTAAGCATTGCTTGTTTCGCTTCAGACATCCTTGCCGTTCGAGTCGAGGTTCGAGTCGCCTTGGAACATTGATCGTTTCGTTTGAGACTACCTCCCAAAATTGTTGGTTTCGCTTGAGACATCCCGAAAAAGCGTGTTCGCTTCGCTTGATGTTGCTATCTCAACATAAGAAGGAAGTAACCTCGATGGCGAACTTTTCACAGTGATAATGAAATTCGGCCTCCGCGCCCCGCGCCCCCGACCAAACTCTTCTTGGCCGTGGATAATCAACGTTAATATGTTAAGGGGGGGAGTACTTTCTTATCCTCGGCATGTGGTTAGCAATACTAATATTACTACTACGCATACGTATAATAGTACTAATGCGAGTATTACTAAAAGTACTAATAATAACACCTATTCAATGCAATGTTAAGAAGAAAAGCATGATGAGGAGGAGGAGGGGGAGTCAGCTGAAGGTCTACCCGTCTGCATTGTGCCGATGATCCTACAGGTTCACAGGCTGGCCTGCCAGGTGTCGAGGTGTCCGAGGAGGCTAAAGGTTCAATCCCTTGGACCCAAATGCAGAGTTCCTGCAGCAGTGCAGCAGCATGACTGTGCGTGGGGTGGTGCCGCGGTGCCATTCATTGCTCTGCCTCCCCTCCGCTCTCTCTTTCCTAGCGAATCTGTGCGGCTGCCCCGGGCACTCGGCCCATCAGCGGTGCCAGCAGCAGGGGGAGCAGGAGGAGGCCGTTGCCGACGACAGCCAGGTGTGGAACACTGGCCTCTCCCCGCTGGCGGCGCCCCCCCTGGCGCGGCCTTCCCCGGGGCTGGCTTTCTGACCCCTCCTCGGGGGCAACGATAGGGGGGGGGGATAGGCACAGGGGGGGATGCATCGACCCCCAGTCGCCCATTGATCGCCGATAGGGGCCGGATAGCCCCAACCTGCCCAGGAAGGTGCGGATTCGCCATCGGAGGCCTATCGCCCTATCGCCGATCTATCGGCGATGTATCGCCGCTTGCAGGTCGAGGTTTCCCCCCCTATCCCTATCCCCCCCTATCGTTGCTCCTCACCTCCCGGAGGTCAAGGCCAAGGCGAAGGCCAAGCCCAAGGAGACTAAGCCGTCCGGGAACTACAAGGCACCGCGCTCCGCCGCCGCCGCCCCCGCGCTCGGGCCCCCGAGATCCTGGCGTCGCAATTTTTGTTGCACAACGGTCGTTTTCGCCCTGTTTCGGGCCCGGGGACCCTCACAGATCGACCTGGCTCGGAAAATGGTGCAGAAAGGTGGGGTCACGGGCTCCCGTCGTGTTTTTTTTTTTTTTTTTTTTTTTTTTTTTGTTTTTTTTTTTTGTTTTTCCGACGTTGTTTTGTTTTGTCACGTCAGACCCCAGGGGTTGCTCGAGCGGGGGCGGCGCTGCCTCTGGCCCAGGCGGGGATCTGGTCCTCCTATCATGAACCGACAACCAGCACCCATGCCTACGCGACCCCCAGATGTCTCGGGGTGGAGTTCCAGGGGGGCTGTGGATGTGTGCTGTCGGACGGGTGCCCCCGCTCGGACGGGAGCTCCCCTAGGATCCGCCATCTCGCGCTCGTACCTATGGCGCCTTCGTCGCCTTGGCCTTCCTCACTCCTCCTCCCTATAGGGGGGTTGGAGTGGTCGGAGTAGATGGGGTCGGTTTGAGTGCGTGGTGATCTTCGATCATTCCAGACGGGGTCGGAGTATATGGGGTCGGAGGATCGGGCCGCATCGCCGATGCATCGGCGATGCGGCTCGATGCGGAGCCCGATGTTCTCCGCGCCGATGTATCGCCGATGCGTCGCCGATTCATCGACGATGCAGCGCGATCCTCCGACCCCATCTATTCTCACCCCCTTCGGGAGGCCTCCGGAGGAGTGGGCACGGCGCGGGAGATCGACGTCGGCAGGGGAGGTGGATTGCGTGGTGGGGAGGAGCGGGCAGAGGATGGGGCGTTTGTGATCGGCAGGCAAGTCACATTTGCAGGGGACGAGGCACCGCCATTCACCTCACTCTTTTAACATTGGACATCGAAGCCGAAACAACTGCACAAACATACTCTTTCCGAGTTCCACGCGGATTTCTTGGATCCGCGTTGGGCCTCTCTGGCGGCGCCTTTGGCGCTGCCCCTGGCGCGCCGCGCGCCAGGTAGGGGATTCAAGTGCCGATCCAAGAGGTCCGCGCGGAGCTTTATAAGTTTATGTTTATGCCGTTTCTCTTCTTCTAAGGTAAATAGGGTGATCGATTTTGATCGTAGCGTGTGGATGGTGAACAAGGCGGAGCGACGCGAATATGCAGCCGTCGGCGCATTGGCCAAACATCAGGCTGCGAACAGGTGCGGCGAGCAGAGGGGCAACAAGCCGTAATGAAACACGAGGAGCCCGCGAGGGCGCAGAGTAATTGTGCACGCGGCCTGTGATGAGGAGGATCAGGATGGCAAACACACATAGGCACACTTAATTGTCGGCTCCCAAGAAAATCAGGAAGTCGAGGGGAAGACGAAAGTCTAGAAACTACGAACACACACGCACAAACGCATAGATGCTTGTGTGTCCATGGTCCCCTTCAGCGGAGAGGGAAACACGACCCTAGCCAGGACCTAGTCAGGCCCGCTCGCCCTGCCAACATAACTCACGTGTCTGCGGCCTCGACCAGATTACGGCCAAGCCAGGGAGGGAGGGGGGGAGAGGACAGGGCAGCGGATGCTGCGGAGGTGTGTGTGGAGGGGGGGGGGCTGGCAGTGGGCGGATGATGCTGGCAGGGGTTGGCCAGGAGGAGGATGAAGAAGAGGAGGAAGAGGCGAAGAATGAGGAGGACGAGACAAGGGCCCCCCTATCATCCTCCGACCTCAGAAACCCAGCACATCCAGAATCGCTTCCGAATCCCCCCAAACAGCGATCGAGCACCCAGACTAATTTCCTGCTCCTTCCCCCCGCATCCTCCCTCTCCGGCAGTTTGGGGGTTAGTCATTGCTTCGATGAGCGTGACATGCCCCTGCACCTGCCCCTTCCACTTCCCCTTCCCCTGCCCCTTCCCCGTCCCCTTCCCCGTCCCCTTCCCCTTCCCCTTCTCCTTCCAGTTCCCCTTCCCCTTCCCCTTCGCCCTCCCCTTCCCCTTCCCCTTCTCCCTTCCCCTTCCCCGTTTCCTTCCCACTCCCCTTCCCCTTCCCCTCCCCCTGCCCCTTCCCCCTGCACCTGCCCCTGCACCTCCCCCTTTCCCTCCCTCTTCCCTTTCCCCTGACCCTTCCCCTTCGCCCTCCCCTTCCCCTTCTCCTTCCCCTTCCTTTCCTCCTTTCTCTTCCCCTCCTCCTCCCCCTCCCCTTCCCCTTCCTCTTCCCCTTTCTCCTTCTCCTTCTCCTGCCCCTGCTCTTACCCTGCCCCTGCCCCCCCCCCCTGCCCCTGCCTCTTGCCCCTGCCCCTGCCCCTGCCCCTTCCCCTGCCCTGCCCTTCCCCGTCCCTTCGCCCTCCCCTTCCACGCCCCGTTCCCCTTCACTTTCCATTTCCTCGCCCCCCTGTCCCCTGCCCCTTCCCCTTCCCCTTCCCCTTCCCCCCTTCCCCTTCCCCTTCCCTTCCCCTCCCCTTCTCCTTCCCCTGCCCCTGCCCCTGCCCCTGCCCCTGCCCCTGCCCCTCCTCCTGCTCCTTCCCCTTCCCCTTTTCCCCTTCCCCTTCGCCCTCCCCTTTTCCCCTTCCCCTTCCCCCGCCCCCGCTCCCGCCCCTGCCACCTTCCACCTGCCCCCGGCCCTTCCCTTCCACTCCCTTCCCCTTGCCCTTCTCCCCTCCTCAGGCTCCTGCTTCTGCTCCTGTTCCTGCTCCTGCTCCTATTTCTGTTCCCTCCCTCCCTCTTCCTCCTCCTGCGATCTTCGATCTATCGGAATTAGTACCGCGGCTTCCTCCTTCTGCTCCTTCTCCTCCCTCATCCCTCCCTCTTCCTCCTCCTTCCCCCTCCTACCTCCTCCCTCCTCCCTCCTCCCTTCTCGTCCTCCTAGTCCTCCTCTTCCTCGTAGTCCTCCTCCTCCTCCTCCTCCTCTTCCTCCGCCGTCGGAGGTGATGCTATCCTTCATCATTTGATTTGTCCGTGTCTTGACTTAAGTTTGGCTTGCTTTCCCCGCCTTCCTCCTTCCTTCGCATCCGCCTCAGCTGTCGGTCGGTCGGATTTGGCTCTTCGAGCTCGGCCCGCTCTCCGCTGCTCAATCAGTGTCCGTCGCCTGCGTGTACGATGCCATCTTTTCTGTCTGTCACACGTGTGGGGCACTCGGCAGGGGAGGCCCTGTCACGTTCAGCCGCCTCGCGTGGGCCAGACTCGGGCAGGCGGCGAGAAGGTCGCCTGCGGTGGGCGCCATCCTCAGCTGACGAGCCTGGCTCGTGGCAGCGCCGGTCCTCCTCCCCCGCAGTGAATCCGTCTGGTGTTGCTGTAGAAGCAGCAATTCTTTTTCTTGGTGTCCTGCGCAAGGAGCTGCCGCAGGAGACCTCTCCTCGGCGCCGCAGATCTATGGAGAGGCAACAGGTGACCACTCCTCTGCGCGGCAGAGAGTGGCAAAAGGTGACCACCCCTCTGCGGCAGTGTGCCCTTGCTTTCCGTCCGCCGTCTCCTCCTCCTCCTCCTCTTCTTCCTCCTCCTCCTCCTCCTCCTCCTCCTCCTCTTTCTCCCCACAAGCGATCTCGAGCAAGATGCTGTGAACGCACCCTGGGAATTCAGGGTGCAGACGTCCCGAATCAGGCAGACGGCTAGAAGGTCGCCTGCGGCTCGAGCGGTCATCAGGTGACGAACTTGCCCGCGGCAGCGTCGCTCCTCCTCCTCCTCCTCCTCCTCCTCGGTCTCCTCTTTCTCTTTCTTGGCGCAGTTTCTCCGCCGAGGGCTGCAGGTGCACAAGGAGGAGTTCGGAGCTGACAGCCCTTTGGTGTAAACCCTGCCCCGTCCCCAGCCTTGCGGGCGCGGCGAGTGCCACGCGAGCATAAAGACGCCCCAGCCAGCAGGCGTGTCAGCCCTCCGGGCAGCAGCAGCGATCGCGGCGATACGTGCTGCCACCCGCGAAGACGATCAGGCGAGCAGTGAGGAGGAGCGGCCTGGCAAGTGACAGCGCGCCAGCGCGGCAGCAGGCGAACTCGGCGCCCTTGGCAGCGACTACGAGCCTCTGGTCAAGGCCGCGCCGCCGCCTCAGGCTCACGCAGCTCCCAGGTCCCCCCCCGGGCGGCGGCGGCGGCGGCGCCAGCGGTTCTTCGCCAGTGTCCGGCCGCCGCCGCAGTGTGGCGACGACAAGAGGGCTCGCATGGTGGCGGCCTTGCTCGCGGCCAGGCGCGCGGTCAGCCACGAGGAGGACGGGCGCGCGCTCCCCATGGGCGAGGGCGTGGGTAGAAAGGACCGCCGCGCAGCTCCAGCGCGAGGTGGGCCCGCAGCTTTTCATGTCCGATGACGTGGGCGAGCAGGGTGGCAGCGCGCCACTGCGGCACAGGCCCCAGTGGCTCGTCGAGAAGGCCAAGCCGCAGTTCGGGTGCGACCGGTGCGGGGCCAGATCCAAGTGCGGCGCCGAGCTTTCAGCTGGCTTGTGCCGTGGTCAGCCCCCCCTGCGGTGGAGGCGGCCCACCTGAGCCACCAGCTGATGGCGCTCGGCACGGTGATCTTCTGCCAGGCGTGCGGGGCGCGCAGCGCGGGAGGGCTCGCGACGCTGCTGGCCGAGCTGTGCCTTCGCCAGCCTGGCGATGAGAACGCCGAGACGCGCCGCAACCACATGCGGGCTGGTCGCCGCCTGTTCTCGCACGAGTTTATCGCAAGCCCGATCCAGCTCGCGCGGGCCACTTGGCGGCCCCGTGGACGGTAGCTAGGGCGCCGCAGCCAGCTCGCCCTCGCCTGCGGCCGCGGGGTCATCGGCTGCAGCGTGGCGGACGACCCGAAGAAGCACCATCAACCCGCATAAGCACCAGGGGACACAGGTTACCCCACGTCGCCGTGCGGGGCACACGGCGCGTGTTTCCGCGCATGGGTAGCCTGGCCCGCCCCCACAGGCCCCTTTGCCCAAGGGGGGCCGGGCGGTACACGTCTTGAACTGTGCCCGTAGGCCGACCCTCCCAGCCACACCTTTGCCCTGCGACGTCACGGGAGGGCCAATACAGTGGCTGGGGCCCGCCCCGACAGAGGCAGGTGCCACGCAGGCCATCGCGGGCCGAGACCCACGCCGGCCCAGGGGGGTCACCCTCGCGGCCCCAGCCAGAACGCCGGGTCCTTGAGGGGCCCGAGACGGCAGACCCGTGCCACAGCGGGACCACCGCAAGGCTACGGGGGGGGGCCGCCCCAGGCCCGTCAGGGCACCGACGCCCCTGGCCCGCCGCGCCGCCCCTGCGCAGGCGACGTCTTGGCGGATTTCAGTTCGCCCACGCAGCCCCGACGTGCCGCCCGCACGCCGAGGTGCCCTCCTGCTCCTTCCTCCTCCTCCTCCTCCTCCTCCTCCTCCTCCTCCTCCTCCTCCCCCTCCTCCTCCTCCTCCTCCTCCCCCTCCTCCTCCTCCTCCTCCTCCTCCTCCTCCTCCCCCTCCTCCTCCTCCTCCTCCTCCTCTCCCTCCTCTTCCTCCGTCGTGACATCCGACAGTGCAAAACAATGCAGGTTCGCGAAACATCGCGACTGTAGCCCTAGACCGCATCTGGCTGCGGCATTCTTCGAGCTGTGTCGATCTGTCATCGTGCCGGGGTCCAAGAACGGGCGAGAACGCTGGTTGCACTAAGAATTGCGACGCCAGGATCTCAGGGTCTTCTCCCCCCCTCCCTCATTCTCTCCCTCCCTCCCGCCTTCTTGGCCCGCCCGACGCCAGCGCCCCTCCCTCCTCGCTGCGCCGCCAGGTCTGCGTGTGCGGCGGCTGCGGCGGGATCGGGCAGCCGCTGGCCCTGCTGATGGCGATGGACAAGAACGTGAAGGCGCCAGGGGGGGGCCTCCCTCTCTCCTTTTCTCCTCTTCCTCCTCCCCCTCCTCCTTCTCCTCCTCCTCCTCCTCCTCCTCCTCGTCCTTCTCCCTCCCTCCCTGCCTCTTTCCCTCCCTCCCTCCCTCCCGCCTTCTCTCCCTCCCTCCCGCCTTCCCGCCTTCCTTCCCTCCCACCTTCCCGCCTTCCCGCCTTCCTCCTCCCTCCTCCCCTCTTCTTCCCCCCCTCCCTCCGTAACCCTTTGGGCGGAAGAGTTTGCTCGCCCCTGGCTCCACTTGGCAGCAGTCATGGCCGACGCGACGGCGGCGGCACTTCTCAACGCGGTTGTGCGAGCTGGCGGCTGTCGCCAGCTGGTGGCGGCCACGGCGGTGGCCCTCTGACGGGAGGCCTTTGCTCAGGCTTGCTGCGCGCAGGTGGTGGAGAAGGAGGTGGACGAGGGGCGTCGCCGGCGGCATGGCCAAGCGAGGCGCGAAGCTCGGGCAGGTGCTCGAGGAAGCATGGATGCTCGCCGCTGCGAGCAGGCGGCGCGCCAATCAGTTCAGCTGGTACTTAGGCGACGCGCAGGCCCGCATCCACCGGCACGAGCTGCGCGACCACGAAGGCCTGGAGGGGGTACCCCAGTGAGGCTGCCTAGCGGCCTCCGCTAGCAGAAGGAGGCGACCGACGCCAGGCCACTCAGCAGGAGCAGGAGGAGAATGAGGGCGAAGTTGAGGTGCCAGCGGAGGGTAGTGAGGACGGTGCGGACTCTGAGAATACTCCTTGGCGGCTGGCAGCCCTGGCCAACCCGACGCTCTCTTCTGCATGAGGCGCAGGGCCTATGCGCAGCACCCGCAGCAGGGCCAGGGAACGCTCGTGGAGACCTGCATGGGCCCGGAGGCCTTGGCCCGGCGGAGGCCAGGCGCCGGCTGCAGCAGGGACTCCGCCCAGGCCGCGTGAAGAGTGGCGTGCCCTGGGGCCCTGCAGACAGGCAGCGCGTGCCACCTGGCGCGCGGTGCTGGACTCGGCGGGGGGGGAAGGCGGAGTCCGCCAGGAACAGCGGCTGGGGACGATCGCCTGGCTCCACTGGCTCCAGAGCCCGCAGGTGGCGATCGCGGGGGAGCGCCGTGGGGCGCATGAGGAGGAGGAGGAGGAGGAGGAGGAGGAGGAGGAGGAGGAGGAGGAGGAGGAGGAGGAGCGGGAGGAGGAGGAGGAGGAGGAGGAGGAGGAAGAAGACGACGAATAATGAGATTACCCATAGTAACACATTTATTATTAATAACAATAGAAATTGAATACTACGCCACATAACATTATTACTAATAGTTGTACGAATAACAACAATAACGAGAAACACCTGGAGGAGGAGGCGAAGGAGGATGTGGAGGACGATGGTTATGGTGGTGATGTTGATGTCGGTTTGGCGACGACGATGGTGATACTGTTACTGATGATGATGAGGATGATGGTGTTGATGATGATGATGATGATGATGATGATGATGATGATGGTGGCGGTGGTGGTGATGATGATGCTGACGATGATGGATGGTGATGATGCTGCTGATGATACTGATGATGATAATGATGAAGCTGATGATGCTGATGACTGCTGCTGATGATTGTGGTGGTTTTGGAAGTGACGATGATGATGGTGATGATGCTGATGATGATGATGTTGATTATGATTTTGAGGATGATGATGATGATGATGATGATGATGATGATGATGATGATGATGATGATGATGATGATGATGATGACGTGGTGGTAGTGATGATGATGCTGACGATGATGGATGGTGATGATGATGACGCTGATGAAACTGATGATGATAATGATGATGATGCTGCTGCTGATGATGATGATGATGATGATGACGAAGGTGCTGATGCAGATGCTGATTGTGGTGGTGGTGAAAGTGATGCTGATGATGATGCTGATAATGATGATGCCAATGCTGCTGATGATGCTGATGATGCTGATGATGATGCTGATGCTGATGCTGCTGATGATGACGATGCTGGCATGGTTCATGGTGGTGGTGATGCTGATGTCGATGTTGATGATGCTGACGACTATGATGATGACGATGTTTATGATGGTGAAGCTGATTAAAATGATGATGCTGGTGCGGAGGATGATGCTGCTGGTGGTGGTGATGATTATGCTGATGATGGTGATGCTGTCGCTGATGATACAGTTGCTCCTACTATGATGAAACTGAGCATGATACTGATGAAGCTGATGATGCTGCTGATGATGCTGATGAAACTGATGATGATGCTGCTGGTGATGATGCCGATGATGATGATGGTGACGAAGGTGCTGATGCTGATGCTGATTGTGGTGGTGGTGGAGGTGAACATGATGATGCTGCTGATGATGATGACGATGATGCTGATGCTGCTCTGGTGAAGATGATTATGATGATGATGCTGATGTTGCTGCTTCTGCTGCTGATGATGCTGCTGACGACCATGCTGATGATGCTGATGATGATGGTGATGCTGATGATGCTGATGCTAAAGATGCTGACGAAGATGATACTGATGCGGATGCTGATGATGATGCTGATGCTGATGCTGCTGCTGATGATGATGGCTATGCTGCTGTTGATGCTGATTCTGCTGACGATGATGCTGATGATGATGCTGATGCTGTTGATTATGCTGATGAGTCGGATGCACGATTATGATGATGATGCTGCTGATGCTGATGACGCTGATGATTATGATGATGCTGATAGTACTCTTTCTGATGAGGCTGCTGATGATGATGCTGATGATGATGATGCTGATGATGATGATGCTGATGATGATGCTATTGATGATGATGAAGCTGATGATGATGAGGAGGAGGAAGCGGATGAGGAGGAAGAGAAGGAAGAGTGAGAGGAGGAGGAGGAGGAGGAGGAGGAGGAGGAGGAGGCGGAGGAGGAGGAGGAGGAGGAGGAGGAAAGGAGGAGGAGGAGGAGCAGGAGCAGGAGCAGGAGGAGGAGCGGCCCCGCAGAGCGCAGGCCCAGGTGGTGCGGCACCTCGGAGCGTCGCATACGAGGGGGGGTGATTTTCCTCGTCGGCGGCCCGCTCGGGATCCTACAGTCGGGCCGCTGAAGAAGGAACCCTTTTCGTTTGGGAGGGGCTCCGTGTTCCGTAGTTGTTCCCAACCATCCTGTGGTGTTGGGTCCTCGTTTTGCAGAGACGTCGCCCCGCGTTCCTCCTCCTCTCCTCTCTTCCTCCCCCTCCTCCCCCCCTCCTCTCTGCGTTTCACCCACCCAGTACAGCGTTTCGTGGCCCCACAGGGAGCTCCACCGAAGGCCCCAGTGGCAGCGTTCGCATGGCGGCCCCGCCCCATTTCGGCACATCCCTCACGAGGATCGTGGCCCCATAGGGAGCTCCACCGAAGGCTCCAGTGGCAGCGTTCGCATGGCGGCCCCGCCCCATTTCGGCGCACCCCTCATACGGCTCGTGGCCACAAAAGGAGCTCCACCGAAGGCCCCAGTGGCAGGGTTCGCATGGCGGCCCCGGGCCATTTCGGCACACCCCTCACGAGGATCGTGGCCCCATAGGGAGCTCCACCGAAGGCTCCAGTGGCAGCGTTCGCATGGCGGCCCCGCCCCATTTTGGCGCACCCCTCATACGGCTCGTGGCCCCATAGGGAGCTCCACCGAAGGCCCCAGTGGCAGGGTTCGCATGGCGGCCTCGGGCCATTTTGGAACACCCCTCACGAGGATCGTGGCCCCATAGGAGCTCCAGCGAAGGCCCCAGTGGCAGCGTTCGCATGGCGGCCCCGCCCCATTGCGGCACACCCCTCACACGGTTCGCGGCCCCATAGGGAGCTCCACCGAAGGCTCCAGTGGCAGCGTTCGCATGGCGGCCCCGGGCCATTTCGGCACACCTCTCACGAGGATCGTGGCCCCATAGGGAGCTCCACCGAAGGCGCCAGTGGCAGCGTTCGCATGGCGGCCCCGGGCCATTTCGGCACATCCCTCACGAGGATCGTGGCCCCATAGGGAGCTCCACCGAA